AATTTATCCAATGATGGTACATAAATAGTCCAATCAAGGGGAACAGAATAAAAGTTAATTCAAATATAATGGATACTTTAGAACATTAGGGCTTAATTTTCTAGTGAAACTTGGTAGAGAAAGGAACTATTTAAATATCATACTCTCAGCTCTACTTTTTATCAACTCTTGGTAACATGAAGCATTGAAAGACTGTCCCATTTAGCATTTTCTTTAAGACAATTTTCTGAAGAACTTATGCCCTTTAAAGTGGAGCAAATTGAACTAAATTTCAACAAAGTTTTGAACAGTATTTCAAGCTAATATATTTAAAGGGAGTCAAAGAGATGATCAAAAACGTTATTGGATTTCTGATACAAATTTACATATACACTTACCTTGCTTTATTGTGCTTTGCTTTATTCTGCTTTATAGATCTTGTATTTGTTAAAAATGGAAAGTTTGTAGCACTCTGCATCTATCTAGTCTATTGGCACCATTTTTCCAAGAGCATGTGCTCATTTCGTGTCTCTGTGTCACATTTTGGTTATTCTCAACAATATTTTAATTTTCTGTTCATTATTAGTGTGTCTGATTTGGAGACCAGTGATCAGTGACTTTTGATGTTACTGGTGTAATTCTTTTAGGATGCTACTCACTGGTGCCCATAGAAATGGCAGACTTAAGCAAAATATGTTGCCTGTGTTCTAACTGCTGCACCAACAGGAAGTTCCCCTGTTTTTCATCCTTTTCTAGACCTCTCTATTCCCTGAGACACAACAATATTGAAATTAGGCCAGTTACTTACCCTACAATGGCCTCTAAGTGTTCAGTGAAAGGAAAATTAGCACATCTCTTATTTTAATTCGAAATCTAGAAATGCAATCATTCATCTTAAATGTAATCACTAAGCTTAATAGCTTAGTGAGAAAAATCATATCAAAAGGTTCTGGCCTAAGTCTCTTGCACCAGTTAGTCAAGTTGTGAATGCAAAGGAAAATTCCTGAAGGAGATCACAATTGTTACTCCAGTGAACATATGAATGATAGGAAGGCTAAAATGCCAACATGGAGGAAGTTTTAGTGGTCTAGATAGAAGATAAAGCCAGCTATACCATTCCCTTGAAACAAGGCATGATCCAGAGCAAGGTCCTTTGTCTCTTCAATTCTGTGAAGACTGAGAGAAGAGAGGAAGCTGCAGAAGAAATGCTTGACACAAACAGAGATTCAGTCATGAGGTTTAAAGAAAAAAGCTGTCTTTTTAACATAAGAGTTCAAGGTGATGTAGCAAATGCTGATGCAGAAGCTGCAACAAGTAATCCTAAAGATCTGACTAAAATAATTGATGAGAGTGGTTACACTAAACAACAGATTTTCAGTGTAGACAAAACAGCCTTCTACTGGAAAAAAAAAAAAAAATATATATATATATATATATAAAATCTAGGACTTTAGTAGCCAGAGAGAAGTCAATACCCAGCCTCAAAACTTCTTCAAAGGACAGACAGACTCTCATGTTAGAGGTTAATGCAGGTGGTGATTTTAAGTTGAAGCCAATGCTCATTTACCATTCTAAAGATCTTATGGCCCTTAAGAATTATGCTAAATCAACGTTGCCTTTTTTCTGTAAATGCAACAAAAAACCTTGATGACTGCACATTTATTATATTTACAGAATGGTTTACTGGATACTTTAAGCCCCATGTTGAGACCTACTGCTCAGACAAAGATATTCCTTTCAAAATATTACTGCCCATTGACCATGTACTTGGTCACCCAACAGCTCTGATAAAGATATACAAGGAATTTATGTTGTTTTCATGCATTTATTCATTCTGTAGCCTATGGATCAATTTTGATTTTCATTTTTTTAGTGTTCAGGAAATACATTTTGTAAGGTTATAGCAGTCAGATAATGATTTCTCCAACGGATCTGGGCAAAGTAAATTAAAAATCTTCTGGAAAGACTTCACCATTTTAGATATCATTAAGAACCCTTGTGTTTTTTGTTTTTGTTTTTGTTTTTTTGGAGGAGCACAAAACATCAACATTAACAGCAGTTTAATAACGGGAGTATAAAGGAAGTTGATTTCAACCCTCATAAATGACTTTGAGGGGCCCATGACTTCAGTGGAGGAACTTACCACAGTCGTGGTGGAAATAATAAAAGAATGAGAATTAGAAGTAGAGCCTGAAGATGCTTTGTTGCAATCTCATGATAAAACTTGAATGTATGAGGCGTTGCTTCTTACTGATGAGTAAAAAAATCGGTTTCTGCAGATGGGACCTACTCCTGGTAAAGATGCTGTGAGGATTGTTGAAATTAGAAAAGGGTTTAAAATAGTATACAAATATAGTTGATAAAGCAGTGGCAGAGTTTGAGAGGATAAACTCCAGTTTTAAAAAAAGTTCTAATATGATTAAAATGCTATCAAACAGCATCACAAGCTACAGATAAAACTTTTATAAGAGGAAGAGTCAATTGATAAGATAAATTTCGTTGTTGTCTTATTTTAAGAAGCTGTCACAGCCACCTCAACCTTTAGTGACACTACCATCCTGATTTCAGCAGCCATCTACATCAAGGCAGGACCCTCCCCCAGCACAAAGATTACGAGTAACCATTGGCTTAGGTAACTGTTAGCATTTTTTAGCAATAAGGTATTTTAAAATCTTTTAAATTAAGATGTGTACTATTGAGCACTTAACAGACTATAGTATAATGTAAACATAATTTTTATATGCACTGGGAATTCAAAAATTAGTGTGACTTGCTTTATCGAGGTATCCACTTTATCGAGGTGATCTGGAGCCAAACTCAAAATATCTTTGTGTTATCCCTGTATTGTTTATTTCTAGTAAAACTATGATTTGCAGGCAAATTAAGACATAAAAAGGGGAATCATGGCTCCCTGGTATTATATTTGTAGCATGCACCCACACCTACACACCCACACCAACACCCACACCCCTCTCACACACTGTGAAATATGTTGAGCATCTCTAATCTGAAATCTAAAATTCAAAATACTCCAAATTCCTAAACGTTTTGAGCACTGACATGACACCAGAAACAAACAAAGGTGCACAACTGTTTATTTAGTGTCCGCAAAGGAAAAACGACCCTTCCTGCCGCCTTCAGCTGCCACATATCTTTTCTGAGCATGCTCAGATTCCCCTACCCAATCATGCCCACAAGGTTAATAAAAGGGCACAAATGCAGGCTGGATGCACTAGTGGCAACTTGATGCAAAAGTATTTGTATAAAATTACCTTGAGGTGATGTGTATGAGGTGTATATGAAACATAAGTGAAATCTGTGTCGACTTGAGTCCCATCCCTGTGATAGGACTGATATATGCAGATATTCCAAAATATGAAAACCTCCAAAATCCAAACAATTTGGTTTCAGCTATTTGAGATACGGTAAACTAAACCTGTATGAGTTAACTTAGAAACTAAGCTGAAATCATTATCTGGGCAAGTGGCTCAAGTTTTATTAAACAAGGGGCTGGGATCGGGATGGGGTTGTATATATATGTATTTTGATAAACTTATAAGGTGATGCTGATACTGCTTTTCCTTATCTTTCTTGAGATATCTGGAGATACTTGAAGCTATGTATTATAGGTTCTTTGTTCTCTGTTACAAAATACAGAAGTAACTATTTCTATATTACAGTTATTATTTTAGATTTGATTACAAGGAAATACTTATTTTCAGAAATCTTAGCAAAAATCATGACTTCTTGTCTTTAGTTCTAAAGAAACTGTCCATTTTAGAATGTACTAGGATGTTAAGCTCCCTCTTTTTCTCTCAGATATGTAATCAAATAAGCTACAAAACCATTTCTACAATAACACCTTTCTTGATGACATTCAACCTTAGAGTAACAGTGCATTTTAAAATTGGTATTCAATGTTAAGATAGTATCAAGCACGGGGTTTTCTTGGCATTAGCAGCACATTAATATACCATTTCATAGATTCACCTTTTTTGTACATTCTTTGGACACAGAAAATGCTCAAATTGAGTTTTCTTTAAATGATCATTGACTTATTTTAGATATATCTTATATATTAGCATATTCTATTATTATTAAAAATGTGAAATAAAATGTATTATTTGTTTATATTCTGATGTAAATGTTCCTATAGATCAAATAATTATTATATCTCTGTCCAGAGATTTATATCATCATTACATAGTGAATATTTATTTTCTTGATATTATATGTGCAGCAGAGATTACTTTTCTTTATACTTATGATCTTATAATTTAATTAAAAATTCTAGAATATGGTGGGTTGTATACAATTCTGTAAAAGCCTAGACACATTTTCCCACAAAATGTTAAACACTAAAAGAGTTATCTGTGTTAGATATTAACTAATGACATCACAAAAGAAAGTGGAGAGTAGCAGAATATGCCACCCCATAATAGGCCACTGAGTCCTAAGTATTATTTTGAGCTAAAGGAACTTGAAAAACAGCAAATGCAAGAAAGACATTCTAATCTTTTCTCTCGGAAAACGAGACAAAAAGGCCTCCATGAAAGACGTCTGCGCTGTACCAGCTGAAAAGAAACATTCTTCAATGGAGAGTCATAACTGAGAGAATTATGTAAAAACAGACATTGGTAAAATAACTGTTATTTTCCTTTAGCTTCCCCATATAATTTAGTTACTTTTCCGCAATTGCCTCTCTTCATTCAACCAAATACAAAAAAAGATGAGTCCTGCCACTTCTCTGAGTCTTCATTTTCTTATGCGGGCTCCTGTGTCATGTAAAATTTACGTTAAATTTGTATGCTTTTCTTCTGTTAATTTGTTTTATGTCTATGTAATTCTCAGGCCCGTACAGGGCCCTAAAAGAGTAGAGGTAAAGTTTTGTCTCCCTTACACAAGCTTAATCGCTAAATTAGTGTTGCAGACAAGTCACTTCAGACACTTTTTGAATTGAATACACAACTGTTACATTGAAAGAACCAGAACTCAGTAATGAAATAAGCCGGAAAGGCCACACAGATTAAGTAAGATTGTATTTGGATATTCAAGTCAGTATGAAATTTAAATAAGCAAGAAAGAGGAGACAATCTTTCAGGAACAGGAACGAGCAAGAATGAATGTTTGTTTGTTTGTTTGTTTGTTTCGAGAAGAATGACCCAGGAGGTGACTTGTTGCAATTGTTTGTAAAGCACATTTGGAGCCAGGTTATATAGGTCTTTGATTTCCAGGCTGAGGCATCTGAAATCAATCCAGGAAACAATAAAATAAAAGATCATGAGTCACAATACTTGAAATTTGTTGAGTGTTTACTCAGTTTCTAGTAGTAAGTGCTTAATATATGTCTATAAGGTCCTGTAATGAGAAGATGCAGAAAAATAAGTTAAGCAACTTTTTCCATATATGCAGCTAGTGTCAGACCTGAGAACTGAATGCAGTCAGGTTGACTTTACAGCCTGACCTCATGATAAAAGGCATTTTTTTGATGGAGAATATATTAATTCTTATTGCTGTATATTATTTTTACTGGGTTGAATAACACAAATTTATTTCCTTAGAGTTCTTGGGTTTAGAAGTCAGAAATTGGTTTCACTGGGCTAGAATGGAGGTTTAAGCAGGGCTGTGTTCCCTGAAGACACTTTAGGGGAATTTCACTTTCCTTTGAATTTTTAGCTTCTAGAGGACTACTGCATTCAGGGTCTCTTCCTCCATCTCCAATGTCAACAATGTAATATAGTCAAACAATTTTGCCCCTCTTCCTTGCCCCATCTCTGCTTACATCCTCACATCTCTTTCTCTGACTCTGCTACTTTTACCTAAGTCTTACAAGAACATTTGTGACCGCATTGAGCCCGTGTGGATAATTCAGGATGACCTTCTCATACCAGGAGTCTTCATCAGAACTGCAAGGTCCCTTTTGCCATGAAAGGTAATACATTCACAGTATTCACAGGTTTTGGGGATTAGGGTGTTTGGGGAGCCATTATTACACTCTAGACGGCTCTGAGCCTACCTAGAGAAAACAAATAGAAAAAAGTTGTATTAGTCCATCTTGTGTTGCTATAATAGAATACCCGAGGCTGGGCAATTTATAAAGAAAAAAAGGCTTATTTAGCTCACGGTTTTACAGTCTGGGAAATTTAAAAGGGATGGTGTTGGCATCTGCTTGGCTTCTGGTAAGGGCCACATGCTAGGTCAAAACACAGTGAAGAAGGTCAAAGGGAACATGGACATATGTGAAAAAGAACCAAACATGAAGAGGGACCTTGCTTTGTAGCAATCTGCTTTCTTGGGAACTGATCCATTTCCTTGAGAGCAAGAACTCACTAACTACTGAGAGAAGGGCACCAAGAGGCCCATAAGGGAAAAGTTGATATGACCTGAACACTTCCCAGTAGGCCCCCTCCCTTAAGGTTCCACCTCCCAACATGGTTACATTGACAATTAAATTTCAACATGAGTTTTGGTAGGGGGTGGTGCAAACCACATCCGAACCATAGTAGTAGCATTGAGAATTTTTTCTTTAAACACTTGTGTGGAGAAATGGATTAATGAATTTATTGATAGTGACTCAATTTTGATTCTGGAAATGTTATAAATATATTTTGAAATTATCATTTAAAATTATTATTTTTATAACCAGCATTAATCAACAGTGGCCATTAATTATCTTTCTTTCTTGGTTTTAGTATGAAAATTTGTAAAGATTATACTTTGAAATAATCCAAGTAGTCATTCCTTTTTTCTTATTGTCTGAAAGAAATCGTTTAAAGCTGAAGTCATTGTTCTTTGAAGTCTTGTCAAACTTACACATAAAATTGACAAAGTCTGATTTTTTTTGAAGAATATTTTAACTTCTTAGGAAGGGAATGGTTAAGCAATATTTCTACCATTTATTCTCTCTGTATATAGTGATACTCCCTGGATAATTCCTTTGATGAAAGAAGGAGAAAGTGGATAAAAAGAATGAAAGGAAGGACAGAAGAGTGGAAAGAAAAAGGAAGATAATGAGAAAATCCTATTCTAAAATGACATTTTGCTTTTTGCCTGAAAAAAACAATAACCAGAATTTGTTCCTCCATTTTACAGAACTAATGAAGGCAGATCTTTGGTGCCAGTCTACACTTCTTCCATAGGGTTTATAAAGCAAGATTAGAAAACCAGGTAGGGGAATGCATAACATGATTTCTTGTCCTATTCCACACCCACCTATCCATGTCTCCAAGTGCTCATGAAGAATTATCCTACACTCAGCAATTTCCTTAAGTTAAAAATCAAAGTTGCAAATATGTTCATGCAGACCACCACCAGATACATCAATCCATGTCCAACAGTGAGGGTCATTTGAGTGTCTTGCCACAGAAGGAAATACAAAATGCCTTACATAGTTAAGGTGAGGATGAGATCAGAAATTGGAAAATTTCTTACAGATAGCATGAGTTCTGGGAAAGAGTACTGCTCTGTATGCATGATAATTTTAGTTTTGGAAGGAAGTTTTTTGGCTTCCCCTTAAGCAAACAAAATGGTAACTGGATCAAAAAATTTGAAAGTATTTTTTCCTTAATGCTTTTCTAATTATTTTAACTTTTATTTGAAAATAAAACTAGTCTTTACCATTGTATCAATACTATGTATATACACATATACTATATAATATATATACTATAGATATAAACTATATATATACTATATATACACACATATATGTATTTTTGGGAGTGATGACTAATATATATTAATTATAAATATATGATACTAATGCATTGATAAAAATTACATAGTTGTATTTATTTGAAACCAAACCCCAAAAGCCTCTTGGAAAAAACTCTAGAACCAGTTTGCAGTCATTATTTGTTTGTACAACTGTGAGAATTTTAAAGCCCACAAGACAAAAGATTTTTTTACCCAGTGAAATTCTCCATAGAATGGAAAATGTTTGAGCTACTTGATGTGTAAGTTAATTTAGATTAACTTTTGAACACTAATTACATCTTTAAAGCTATAAAGTAATATTGTCTTGCTTCCTATAATTAAATTTGCTAATGAGAGTATCTGATGAAACACCTCCTACAATTTCAGATAAATTAAACCTTTGTGTGTCTTCCAACCTCTTTTTGACATTTTAATGTGATTAAGAGTATATTTAAAGTTCAACTCTAAATTATAAGATTAAATAGCTGTTATGTAAGCTGTTTGGTATGCATATTTCTTATCTTAGCAAACATCAACTCCAGCCCCAAAATTTGTCATCCAAGTATGACAAACTGCCTAACAGACCTGGAACACACATGGTCCAAATTAGACTTATAAATCATAGATATCTGAGAATAATGTATTTCAGATAAATGCATAATGCTAACAAAAAAATATAGTAATAGAAGTAGATGAGCTTAGCATAAATACATATACTGTCTTTGTCAGCACATGAAATAAGTACACTTAGAAACTAGAGAAAATAAGAAGTATACAGGAAACATATGACTCAAATTTGAATTGTCAGTACTTCCAGCATTTAAGAAAGTGTAAAAAAATAGAGAGTCAACTTGACCTTGAGTTTTAGAACAATTTAATTTTAGCAGAGATTGATTAAAAGAATTATTTTTTTTTCACAATAAGCAAATTTTTTAAAAAAGAAGATTTTGCAGGTCAGTGTCACAGCAAGAAACAGATGGCTTATTCAATTTAGGATAATTCAAGGAGGGTTAATTAAAGGGCTGTTTACAAATGTGCGTCATCATTCAAGAAAACCACAAGGTCTACTGCAGTACTATTAGCTGGTAGGAACAGAGAAGAGGTATTCACCAAGCCCTGAGAAAACAGGAAGAGAATTTTCAGAAACTTAGACGGAGAGAGTAATATAGAAAGGGCTGCTCAGAAGGACTTACGAGCTTTGAAGAAGGGATAAAGCCAATAAGAGCCAGTACTTCACGCAGGGAGCCAAGGGTGGGGAATAGTAAGTAAGCTGGACTCCCCTTTTTCTCTCAAATTTCCTGTTTAGAGTCTCAGTTGGCCAAATACATCTGAAATCTAAAGAGAGAAGGAGCTTTGTGCTGCTATCAGTAGAGGTCAGACTCTCAAGGTAGAGAGCAGAGGAGAAAAAAGTACAAAATAGATCCTTACAACTCTATATAAATGGGTATATGAAAATTATAGTGTGTCAGAAAATAAGGTTTATAAAAATAGAAACAATTTAATATCTCAATGTTAGAATTAGCCTATGGGCAAGCACAGAAGGTTAATTATATAATAAAAGAGATTACACATTTTATAAACTTTGGATAAAGGCAAAAGTTGTATGTAAGAAAAACACAATGATGAATTAGAGAAGCAAAAAATAGATTGGATAGGGAGAACAAGGCAAAAAGGAGTCACCATATGAACACTGGAGAAATAACTAGCATTTTTGTGCATGTGAGTTTATTTTTAAGAAAACATGCAGATGTGAGTCGTTTAATCAGTTTCTTACACATTCTGTTAGGGTGTTTTAGGATATATGATTGTGATATAGAGTAAGCGACTGAATATTGAAGTATGAACCTCAAAAAATGCCAGTGTTGAGATAAACATTTATGATTCTGCACTTATAAATGATTATTAACATCATGGAAGAGGCAAAGATCACTGAAGAAAATAAATGAGAAGGAAAAAAATAGTCTTAGTAATCAAGCCCTTCTTTTTCCACCAGGTATATCTTTCTAGCATATCCTCTCCACACTGCCACGTCCTTCTCATCTGTGCCCCAACTTCTCACACAAGTTTGACTGTGATTTAAGATGGCATGCATATTTTTAGAATTTATCTTTGTGAATTGAAATGCCTAAAATGTTTAAAGGCATATAGCAGGTGATCTAAATGAATATTTAACAAATGCATAAATTACTTGTTTATTGATGCTACTGTCTATTGGGGACTACTGTATTGGAGAATAAGGAACTTAGTTAGAAATTTAAGAATGTATTATATGTCAAGGATTGTTAAGACAAGATGTTTTATCATTAGGAAAATCTTGAATACCAGTTATTGCCTCCCCTGTCTACCTTTACATTTTTGGTGTTAACTCTTAGAGAATGTAATCAAAGCAGCAAAATGCAATAGTTACAAGTAGACTAACCCATTGTTTCAAAGCCACCATTCCAAGAAAAGAACTCTATTTTTTCCCAGTGCTATTTTTTTCCATTCAGCAAAGAATTCCAGTTATTTCAAGTGAGGGAGATGAGCAGAATAAACATTTAATTTATTTGTATTGACTGGTCAAGTCTGAAGGAGGTTTAATAGTTCTGAAGAACCCAAACATCCAGGCTCAGCAAACAGTCTCTTATTGCAAACTCAAGATCTTCCTTAATGTGTATCCTATCAATTCCTCCTAAACTACTCCCCAGCCATTCCTCCAATATTGCTTTTCTAATTTTAATTTTGAATATTGAAAGTGATTGCACAGCCATGTGTTTCTGAAGTAAAATATGCACAGTTCAGTTTTTTCTTCTTGCTCCAGGCTCCCCAAGTGTTATTTGATTTTACACAGTCATAGAGGCAGACATGTAGGCTTGTTTTCCTTAGTTTTGACAGACATTCAGACTTATTTTCCTTATTTTATTGATGAAAACATACACATTGCAATTTTTAAATCCTGAAAATATTTATACCCACAAAATCAAGTAAATCCTCTTATAAAACCTCTTACCAAATGTAAATTTAACTCATAAGCTTACATGAATTTCATTCATACATTATTCTAATACATTGGATTTTTTAAAAATATATATTCCATGGTAAATATATAATAGAGAGAACCTGTGCATTCACTCCCTAATCATTCGTTCATGTATTTCACAAATATTAACTGAATACTTCCTGTATTTCAAGCGCTTTTCTTGACACTGATGCTACATCAATGAATGAAACATTAAAAAAAAATGCTTGCATCATTCAATGATGCAATAATGATCTTGCATCATTCAATGAAGAGAGGAGGAAATACACAACAAACATAATAAATCAAGCAGTTCTACACTA